ATCACAACACTATATCTTGTTTCTATCAAAAATTATTTGAAAAATACCCACTTCCGCCTTTTTTGAAATGAACATTAGTGTAGAAACTAATAAGAGAACCTCTTTCGATGCTACTTTCCGATTTTCATGACCTCTTGCCTATTGACACTACATAGTGTTCTAATAAAAACCCTAAACGGGTTTGGGTTCCTCTTCAGATTTGATCAAGCTATCGAATAGCATTAAAAATTCATTAGGTTACTCAAATCTCAATAGGAATCCAAATCTTGTTAGGATTTTTGTCAGAACATTATGTAGTATAATCATGAAAATTGGAAAGAGGCATCTGAAAAGGTTTACTCATAAGTTATGGATCATTAGTAGTTACAACAATCCTACAGATATTTATTTCTTTTGTGAACTAATATGTTTTTTTTTCTTGCAGCTCAATCGTATACAAAACGAGCTTTAATCGTTAAAGGATTACGTCGACGACCGAAATATAGTTTTACTGCCATACATTACCGTTATTTTCATTACATGGTTCGTCTTGAAGAAGGCCCTGCACCTGGCAAAGAAGGTCTCTATGGACCTGAGTGGCCTGAATTAAATGATCGCCTTAATAAGCGATTAGACCGTTTGAATAATCGTAAATTATTAAGCACTATTGCATAGGAATTGTTTCTTTTTTCTTTTTCTTTTTTTGTTAATATACAAGTCGCCATTAGGACAGACAAAAAAAATTGTGTTTTTTTTCTTTTTTGTCTTAGATGAATCTTTGTTTTAAAAATGACATTTCATCGTTTAACGCTTCTTTCATCATTTATTGCTCGTTCGTCAAATTTTCTTATTCATTCTCATCAAGGTCGATTATTTAAATTCAATCCTAATCGTCAATTTTCATTGACATCAATTCGTTCACAACGTGGTGATCGTCCTACAATATTAAGAAATAATGCTGAAAAAACTCCTAAAGTAAAATTAACACTCACTGATCTTGGTAAACTTTTTCGTTTAGCACAACATGAAAAAAGTCGTATTTGTGGTGCTATTATACTCTTATTGATATCAAGTGGTGTTACTATGTCTGTACCATATATTCTTGGAAGAATTATTGATATGTTACAAACATATAAACATGATGAACTTCGTCGACGTTTAAAACAAACGACATTTTTTCTCATTGGAGTGTTTGGAATAGGTGCAATAGCTAATTTTGGTCGTGTGTATTTAATTTTAACAACATCACAACGTATTATAAAACGTATACGTGAACAATTATTTAATAGTATACTTCGAAAAGAAATAGCCTTTTTTGATAAAAAAAAAACAGGTGAATTAGTCAATCGTTTATCTTCGGATACAGAAGTTATGTCAAATGCTGTAACACAAAATATATCGGATGGTCTTCGAGCATTAACACAATCAGTTGCTGGTGTTGGTTTAATGCTTTATATAAGTCCACAATTAGCATTAGTTGGTTTAACGACTGTACCACCAGTAGCTGTTGGTGCAATTTTGTTTGGAAGATTTATTAAACAATTATCACGTAAAGTACAAGATGCACTTGCAAAAGCAACCGATGTTGCAGAAGAACGTTTTTCAAATATAAGAACAGGTTTGTTGAATGAATTATTAAAGAAAATCTTACTGATTTTTTTCATATTTTATTTTAGTTAAATCATTTTCAAAAGAAGAACAAGAAATACAATTATATAATCGACGAATTAGTAATGTATTACAATTAAAATATACAGAATCATTAGCTTATGGACTTTTTTATGGTATGACTGGTTTATGTGGAAATATTATTGTATTAAGTGTTTTTTATTTTGGTGGTGTTTCAATGAGTCAAGAATCATTAACTATTGGAGATTTATCAAGTTTTTTATTATATGCATTTTATGTTAGTTTATAAAATTATTGTAATTAAAGTTTTGTGAAACACGATCTAAAAGGAGTGTTAAAGTATAGAGGTAAAAATTTAGATCTTTCACACATACTGTGATAGACGCTAATTACAGACTATCACAGGTCCTAGCCAGAGTTCATCATAGATTATGACAGATGTTGTTGATTTGAAAATATAGACCGTCTATCAATTAATGTCTTGTGCTAATATTTAAACTACTTTCTTATTGTATTTCTTGAGGACTAAATGAAAGAATAGTAAAGAAATGTCTCCTAAAATAGATAGAATAAAGCAATCTTTCTATGATTATCATGAGCACCTTCATCGTGTTTCACATTTTAATCTCACAGAGATTGAGATAATAGGTTTTTTTTTTTGTTAAAAAAACTATTTTAGGTTGGTGTATCTATATCCGGTATATTCTCTTTTCATCTTGAATTAATGAAAGGTGTTGGAGCAAGGTAGATAATCAAGATTTTTGAATTTTAAATATTTTATATTTTTATTTCTCTTTTTTAGTCAAGCAGTATGGTCAATTTTAAATGATGAACATAATGAAAAAATGATACTTTCAAGTCAAAGTCAACGTACAATTCATGGAGCACCATTAACATCAGCATTAATGCTTCACGATATAACATTTGATTCAATATCATTTTGTTATCCAACTCGCCCGGATGCACTTGTTCTTGATAATTTAACACTTCGTGTACCTGGTGGTCGAGTATTAGCTATATGTGGTAGTTCAGGTTCAGGAAAATCAACATTAGCTCAATTATTACTTCGTTTTTATGAACCACAATCAGGACAAATCCGTATTGGAAATATTCCTATTAATGATATGCCACTTCATTGGCTTCGCTCAAATATTGGTACTGTACCACAAGAACCCATTTTATTTTCATCATCAATTTATGATAATATTGCCTATGGATATCCAACTGTAGTAGAACATGTTCCAGAAAATGTTCTTAAAAATAAAGTTATACAAGCTGCTAATACAGCAAATGCAAGTGGATTTGTTGAACAATTACCTGAAAAATATGATACTAAAGTTGGTGAACGAGGAACAATGCTTTCTGGTAATATATATATATATAATGTTCTTTTTGTTATACGAAGTATAAATTTTATTAAATGATTTCTTTTTTTTGTAATTATTTTAATTAGGTGGACAAAAACAACGTGTTGCATTAAGTCGAGCCATTTTACGTGATCCAAGTATTCTCGTTCTCGTATGTACTTTTCATTTAATTCTTTCTAATATTATATATAAATATACTTAAAGGATGAAGCAACATCGGCACTTGATGCTCAATCAGAATATTTAGTTCAAGAAGCTCTCGAAAAAATCATGGTCAATAGAACTGTTATTATAATAGCACATCGTTTATCAACAATAATCAAAGCTGATCAAATAGCTTTACTTGATAAAGGACGTATTGGTGAACAAGGTACATATGCCGAATTAATGAACATTGAAAATGGATTATTTCGAAATTTGGTTGCTACACAAACCATAGTTGATACAGACGTAGTAGAATAAAATTATTTGAATTTTTTTTTCTCACCGTTTGCTTTCCTAATGCACGATATCTCGTTAGGCTTTTTTTTCCCTTCAGATTTATTTTTTATTTGTTTGTTTATCATGTCTGCAATATCAGAAGTAAGCACAGATAAATTAAAGAATTTTATTAAATTTTCTCTTCGAATTGATAATAGATCGGCGGTGATAAACAAACAGTTGAAGGATCACTTAATGCTACACATAATCGTTTAAAATGTTATATAAATGATCAAATAACTATACTTGATGATATGATGTAAATATATTTTCCGAAGAAATTCATTCATAAAGATAATTTATTGTTTTTTTTTCAATTTTAGGTCAACAATTGAATCATTTTATAAAACTGAAAAACATACACATGAGGTAATCATATTTAACATAAAAATTGAATGTTGTTGGTGTTGTTGTTTTTTTGTTTTTTATTTGGGTGTTTCATTAATAATTAACATATCTTATTATTATAGAGAATGCAAAGTAGCTTACAAAAATCACTTGAACATGCACAAAGCATGTCCTATCTTGGATCAAGGTATTCCGAGAGATCGAACACGAAAAAAAAAAATTTTGCTCTCCTTCTTCTTTTTAATTTATTGTATAAGAATGTAGTTGATTGCTTTGCTTTTCTATTAGAATTTACTGATGAACTTTTTTTTTTTTGTTAATTGATTTTGTTTTTATTTTTCAGTGTTATTGGTTCAACTTGGACAACAGCAGTAAAAGAATTACTTGAACATTATTCTCAACGTGAAGCATCATATCCCGTACTTAAACAAGTTACATTAGAAAATTTAAAAAAACTAAAAAATGAAAAAATTGATGAACATAATAAAGTAAAAAAATATTTGTTTATTTTCTTGTTTTTAAATTTTTTCTTTTATTAAAAAATAGATTTTACTCTATGATGAAGAAATCATAAAAGAAATGGTTGATATTGAACGTCGTACAATAAAAACGAAACGTGCATATGATGATGTATGTGAACGTTTACGACAACATCTTAATTTAGCTAAAGAAAAAGAAAGTGGTATTAAACGATTACAACATAAAATTTTACCAAAAGTAAATATTTAATTTGTTTAATCTTTATAAACAAAAAAAAAACCATGAATAATTTATTTTAGAATGAATTAGATAAACTTGAAACGTCTGTTGTTGATACACGAAATATGTATATTTTACATGTTCAACAAATGAATTATGCATTAAAATTTTATATTGAACAATTTATTGTTGATTTAGATAAAGTATAAATTAATTTGATTAATTTATTTAATTTTTGTATTATTTTATTTAGTTACTTGTGTGTGATCTTTTTCCACAAATTGAACAAATACTCGATGATCTTGTTTATAGTGAATATAAACGTCTTCGTGAGACACTTCAACGTGCAATACATGCAGCTGTTGAAGTAATTAGAATATATTAATAATATAATCCTATTTTGTTTTTCTTTTTATCACATAGGATGGTGATGAACAAAAACGACGTTTATTACCTAAAACATTTCAAAATTATCCATTAATTCTTTTAACTCATCAAGTAAGATAAGAAGATTTTTATGTATTTATTATCAAGGTTTTCTTTTTTTGTATTTATTATTTAAGAGTGATCAGATTAATATTGAAGATAAACATCAAGGACAACTTACATCATGTTATACATCAGCCGTAAATGATTTACGTGATGCTGATCAACAAATTCAATTAGCATTAGAAAGTTCAGTACTTAGTGCACAACAGAATAAAGTATATACAAAGATATTTTCGAATAGACAGTGTAAAAGTTCTGCATTCAGTTTGTTTTTTCAATATAGCATAATAACAACTCATCATGAAAACTCGATAATTTTCTTATTGGAAACTGCGAAGTTATATAAAAATATCTTGTTTGAAATAATGATCGAAAGCGGAAAAGTTCTTTAGAAGAAAACCTTCATTCACTAAGAAAGGTAGTCCTATTCTCCGTCTTGTATAGGATTTTATAGCACAACAATAGGACATTGTAAATATGTAAAAATAAAATTTTCAATTTATTGGTTGAATTCGAAATCGACATTTTTCTAATAGCCTTTGCTAGCGATAGGTATTCATAACTAATAAGTGATTACGAAAAATAAGATTTTTTCCAGCAATCGGAATTAGTCAAAACCTCATATTTTATGTCCAAGTAGAGTTTAATGGGTCGTCTACATGA